TTATTCGCCGGGGCATTTAGCGTTCTGCCGGCAGGTTGACGAATTCACGCCACTGAGAAACGCGAGAAAGGCTGGAGGGATGAATATAATTTGCCTTTAATTCCTGGCAACGAGATCCGGCTGATGGAATCACGAGGTGAAAAGGAGACTCGAGACGGAGAATATCGCGATACCGAGGGCGGAAGTTTTCGAAGATGGCTGCGACGATTAATTCGTTGGTTTGTTAATGGCTGTTGGACAAGGGCGATGAACAACGACGTGAATGTAGCAAAAGTTGAAAACGACATTGGGTAAACAACGCTGCTGTTTATTTCGTTATTTGTTATTCATTTCTGATATTTATCACGGAAATTTTACATACATCACCCAAAAGAACGTTTAACGAGAAAGTAATTTCTCGTTAAACGTTGAAAAAACGCGAGCACGAGCAAAATGTCAAAATAAAACGAGCAAATAGACGCTCTGATTAAGTAGAATTTATTTTCACAAATAAAGCGCGATTCTGCAGTTAATTATATTTCACTTTGCGTTTCGTTCGCGCACGATCGGTTAAACGTTTTTCCCTGACGAAAACAACGGTTTACCAGCGAGCATCAACTTCAGCGGACTTTTCACGCGCAGTCATCATTACGTTGCGCCGAACAATGGTAATAATTACGTGTCCAGAGAATATGGCGCTTAATAATTATATTCGCGGTAAAAACCGGTGTTAAAGTATTACATTTGCATTTTATATTTCGAATTTCGCAGCTAATTGCGCACCAAAGAGCTCCTTCCTCCCGCGAAATTATTTATTATTCTTTCCATTCTCAATTTTTGCACGTCCTCGGACCTCCTCCTCTCGACTTCCTTTAACTCGCAGCTTCGCGACTATCTCTCTGTTCTCTAATTTGCCTTCCCCCTCTCCCCTCCTTTGATCCACGTCATTATACCCTGCCACTTTCTTCCGACTTCCTCCGACGTCGTTTTATTACGTTTCACTCGTTTCTCAACGACAAAGGTCGAATTCATTCGCAAGTGGAAACGTCGACCTCGCCTGTTTCGCAGCGCGATCGGCTGGTTCCCTCTCCACCCTCTCGTTTCGCAACTTCTCGATCGTTTAATTTTGTTTGTCTTTACTTCGGACGTAATCGTTTTGAAGTTTCGGGAGAGGAGTTTCGAGAACTTGCCCGGCAGGTCGAAGCGGATTAAGAAAGAAAACGGAAAAGTCGTCTTATCGATAAGTATTAAGTAGTTATCGCGTTAGTTAGGAAGCTCCGTGGGTAACTCTGGTAGGTCTCTCGTTCGTCGCTTCTGCTCTCTCTCTCTCTCTCTCTCTCTCGAAATATACGAGTAACCGACGACAATTTTGGATCTCTTCGTTCACTCAGTTTGTGTAGAAGCATGTAATTGGTCTAATCGCGACATCTCTTAGAGCAACCAGTCAACAAATAATTGTCTCTGTTTCTTGTTCTTTTTTTCCCTTAACAACCTAACAAGCTACATATATACATATTCATATATGTGTAAACCGATATGCGCGGATGATCAGTGCGTATAATATAATATACTTTGAATAGTATCTCTTCAAAATTTTCTCCCCTACTTTAAACCACTGTGGAAACAACAGTCTGTCTGTCGCTACTGACACATTTTCACGAACGCATACGCTCGCCTTCTAATCCTTTGGTAATTTCAATGGACGAGGGGTACCATTCGTTGCAAGGAGTAAATCTCGATTGGCAAAAGTATCGGAATGTATCGGAGGGGAGGCGTACAAAGGAATTGCAGGGTGAGCCGCACACGTTCTTAAGCAATAAAACCAGCGGAACCGTTCGCTAAGACCGGCCAAATTGCGGGAAGCGGGCAACAAATAAATTCTTTGCCGGCGACACGGTTCACGCGATATATCGCGCGGCACTGAAACCGATTGCTTCGTGCTTCGTATTATTGAGGTCGAGAAAATCGAGCTCGTATTGCTTTCCAGTGGCGTTCCCTTCCTCCCGCCCCGCTCCCTGTGTTTCAGCCACGCCTTTGATGTTCGCGGAGGAAAAACTTTTTTCGACACGGCAGAGCGTAAGAGAGTTTCGCGATATTGTATCGCTATCGATTCCGCCAATAAAACGTCACGTCTACTCGGCTACGCGCCTCGAAACATGTCGCCTCGGCTACCTGTTTTCATTTCGCAAAGTCAATCGCCCAACTCGGTGGACGAGAACGGCCACCCAACACCTGTCTGTCCGATATCGTCGCGTTGCAAATAGCTTTTTTCGGCCGGGGAGCCACGAAGGAGAGGAGGCAGCACGGGAGAATATTACAGAGAAAGTGTAAAAGTATGAGAGACGTGGAGAAATTAGCGAAAGATTCTGCTGGAACAACCGCAGAATCGACGTAAACTCGAGTAATAAACCCGCGATCGTGGAATAACTCTCGTGGCGTTATGAATCACAATTCGCGAAATAAAAGGCATCGATCAGGTCGGGAAATTCCCGAGGATTCCAAAAGAAATTTCTGATCCAGATTCCAACAGCCAACGCGGTCTCGAAAACGCGGTGAGACGAGAGATCGGGGTCCAGTAGTAAAGCTCGATATAAATCAGGCCGGATCCTTCGCTTTCGAGTTTTGGCCGCGGTCTGCTCTCTCTCTTTCTCTCTCCGCTTTTCTCTAGCGCTGTGCTCGGGCTATCTCTCGTGTCTGTCTTTTTCTATCCTCTCCACGACGGTCCGACTTGTTCTCCGACACGTAATTACGAGCCTTCGTGGAAGAACTTCCGGCTTCCGCCGCTTTTACCCTCGAGCGTGATTACCCGGCGATCCACGAGGAAAGGAACGCACGAAATGAAAACGGGACCTTCCTTCGACAGGGTGCTATCGCGCCTTTGTACACCGCCTTTCACGACTTTCTCGACTTCTCCTCCCCGCCGTCAGAGATAGATAGAAGACGGTGCCACCACTGCCAGATTAATTGTTATTTCGTCCGATACGAGGGTCGAGCGGTGATTTTCTCCGACGAGGGAAACGACAGGAAAGCAGTTTGCATGTGTCGACGTGCCACGTGTCTGAGAGACAGCTCCAGTCTCGGTTCACGTGAATTTGGAAACAGAGATTAGACTGATAATAATAAAGCTCACGAAGTTCGAACATCGTCAAGAATTTGAACGGCTGCACATCTGACACACCAAGGATGAAATATTCGGTAGATTTTTAACAACTGCAAAGATACAATATTAATAAAGCAAGAAAAAAGGGGGTGATGAAAGAGAAATTCGTACATTCGCATTTCCAAATGATTAATTTTTCTAATAGAGAAATTCTGAGTAGGAACAGCAGCGTACCAACACGAGTTAAACATTCACAGGTCGGTAGAAGCATTTTTTCGGACGAGCACACGCGGAGCTTTCACATTTTGATTAAAGTTTAAAGCGGGGAAACAACGCACCAATTTTCACGGCGAAATTTATACACACGCGCGCATACATCGTCCGCGAATGCTCGCCGGGTATAAAATTGGCGAGCTTTCCTCGTGCTTGCGTCTTCGAATTCACGACGCGAAACGTACGCGTGTTTCCGCGAAATCCGGCTGGCGTGTCGCTTGAAAATAAGAGAAAGAACCGGCAGAGAAAGCGGAGAGAACGGATCCGCTGGTGCGTTCTGCGTGACTTCATCGTCGTGGTCGTGTGTCATCGCGCGCACGGTCGAGAAAAATATCTCGCCGTCTCGACACGATCGGCACTTGCAACGATATAAGATCGTTCAATTTCTGGTATCCTCTGATCAATCGCACCACGCATTATTTCCCATGTTAAACTACATTAAATTACATTATGGGTGTCCAAACTTTTAGATTTTCTGGGTCTCATTGGCCAATAAAAATATTTACATATTAAAATGTTTACATATTTTTCTGTCAGTTCGATGTAACCTATATTGAAACAACTTTCACGGTGAAACAATACATTGATTAAAAAGATATATTTGTATTAATTTAAAAAATATAAAAGTATCAAGCTTGTTTTTTAGTATCAATTCGTCAATATCTGGTCCGACACAAGTAGTGGCGATACGAATAGCATTTTCAAGATGCTCGTCTAAAATTTTTGTGCTTCGTACGGGGAAAGGAATCTGTTCGCAAGTGCAAGTACTCCTCGAAAGGGGCATCATGAACGTTCGCGGTGAAAGTTATTTAATTAATAAAATATTAATAAAATATTATTAATAAAAATTCTTATTCAATTACCTCAATTTTGGTTGTACAACGCTTCTTCTCGATTTCCAGCTATTTGTTCTTGTTCCGTTAATCACGGTCCCACCTCTTTGGAGAAAAAATATTTACCAGCGAAGCGCACATTGTATTCTCCGATAGTTCAATGTACGAATAAATTGAGCATGGACGACGTGATAACATGGAGAGAGTTGGGGGAATTAAATTAGAAAAATAGAGTGAAGGATTATTTGATTATAATTCCTCCTTTGAATGAATGTATACTCAATTTATATTAACGTGATTTTATTTTTCGCATTCAGAACGAGCATCTCTGCGACTGTATGCGACAGTTTAATCCTTTTACTGTCCAACAACGATATACGTACAGTACGCTACGCGTCGTAGAATAATTATTTATTTATCTCGTGAAACACAGTGGCCCTTTGTTTCTCAACTCGAGTCTTTTTCATCGAAACGAAACTTGTAATTCTTCAAACTACAACGGGATTACTTTTTTAAAAAACCACGCATCCGTACAATTTGAACATTTGTTAAACTCGTCGTTTTGCAGCAAATTATTTAGAAAAAATTGTCCGAACATCGTAATATCTGAAACATCAAACGCTGCAGCCGGTGAGAGATATTGCTGATTTGCTGGTGGCAAACGGAAGCGGAGCTTTCTCTCGAAACGAGCTCCGGGACTCGATAAACTGGCCGCTAATTACAGCCTGGCAGACGATCGTCGAATCATTTGGCCGGAAGTTGAAGGCAGAGGGACGTCGCGCGTTTTATCCTTCCGGTCGGGCGACGATCCCATCCGAGCAATTTTTAATCGATCTACTCCATCCAGAAGCTTCCCCAGGATATGCACTTTTGCTCGATTTTCATCCGTCCCTTCCGTTTTGCGTTCACGCACACCCCCTCCCGGACGCATTTGCCCCGCAGTTGGAAACTCCCTCGATGGCTCTCGTTGTTTTTTCACTATCCTTCCGATCGATCGACCCGATATTTTTGATCACGTCCGATTGGAAATTTCATCCCTTCACGTGTCTTGGTAAAATGATCGGGCTTCCGTGTGTTACGCAGACGATACAGGCGAAATTTTATCCTCTTTCGATTAAAAAAAAAAAAAAAAAAAAAAAAAACAACTAAATTTCATACAAAAAAAAAAAAAAAAAAAAAAAAAAACAGTTAAATTTCATGTCAAAACGTAAAAAACCAATTTACATCTCTTCGCACGTAATGCACGTAACGAAATCGAAGAAAAAAAAAAGTCGAATAATTTGTTTTCGGTGCGATCCTGCCACGCGGACGAAACAATTCATCCCCGTCGTCGAAACAGAGCCGAGTATTAGAAGAAGTCAGCAACGTTCGTACACGTGATCTATGAATTGTTCACGCGTGAAGCTCGTGCGCCAGAGCATCGCACATTGTTAGCTTTTCAACAGGGAGAAAGTGCGGTTGATACACCACCAAGTGGTTCTGGAGTCGTAGAGGAAACGAAAGAAAAGAAAGAAAAATGGTGAGAAAGAGAGAGAGAGAGAGAGACTCGATACGTGACCAGCGAACAAACGACTCCGACGGCTTTCAAAAATCGCCGCCCCTCCTTTTCCGCCTTTTTATCGTTTCTTTTCGGTCGTGGCGGTGGCTGCGAGAACGTCCACCAGTGTTAATCACTGCGTTTCCACGGCGGCCTTATCTCAAACCGGCGATTTTTTGCCGGATCATCGCTGATTAGAAGCGACCGCTGTACCACACGAGCAGTTTTTATGAGACTTTATGGTGCTCGGTCTGGCTGACATTTCTCTTTATAAACCTCGGACGGTGTTAAAAGTGTGAAACGTACTATCTGGCTCGTGCAGATTGCGCCGACTCACAACCGCAGCTTGCTTTCTAATTCCGAGCGATTCTAACTTCCTTCTTGAGGGGAGGGGGAGGAAATTTTTCTGGTTTTTCTGGCTTTTTAAAAATTTCCCGTAACACGCGGAGAAGTGATCACCGAGCAGAGAGATAGAAGTCTCGGCAAAGTTGCAGCTTGCTGGACGAAAATTCGTCGAACAGATTGCAACGTATTCTTCCTCTTTTTTTCTTTTTTTAATTTCAACGAGTCCTAACTTTTCCCCTTACTGTATCACTTTTGACTTCGATCCTTCGTCCGGCGTGGAAGGTACAAATAAAACGGCAATGTCTCGCCCCGAAGCAAAAACATATTGCGAGGAGTTCAACAAACGGCTAATTTTGTTTTTACTCGGCGGTGATTTTGGCACGGATGCTTACCACTGAGAAGAAATAATCCACAGGCGACCAGAGTTCTGTGATCCGAATAACAATGTCCAATTAAAGCCGAAATTGTAGCGGCCAGGACCAAAATTACGGCGGCCACTTGAAACGGCGCTGAGATCCTGAAACAAATTCGTACAGCGTTACAGTTCGATTTCGGTCGACCGAAGACTGCGGGCAGACAAGTGAAATTACATTTAATTAAACTTCCACGGGACATCGACACGCGAAAACCAGCTGAAACCAGACAAAGGATTTCTCGTTTAATTTTTCCCGTAATAAAATCGATCCGATCGAAATATTTATTTACAAAGAAAAACAGAAAAAGAGCTCTAATTCTACGAGAGCAACCGTCACTTTTTGACGGTATTTCGCAGGGAAATACGTGCGCTCTTACGGAACGGTCGGCGTTGATCAACGAAACAAAGTGCACGGCAGAATTTTTTACTTCGGGACCTGGTTACGGGACTTCGTACAATTCCTCTGTAAATAGCGCGGTGCACAATGGAGATTGAAACAAGTCGTATAAAACAAGTAACTACAATAGATGCTGTGGCGGGCGCGTGATTGGTCGACGACGGCACATGTCGCTGCTACATTGAACGGCCATTGTCGGCGCGTTCGCATATTTCACGCGCAGCTCGCGCCAGGAAGTGAAATCAGACGGTAGTTGTCGACGATTTATTTATCGCAGTCGATCGTTTAACGAATGTAACGAGACCGTTCCCATCTGTCCATACACGACTGATGAAAAATTTCAGCGTAAAACGCAAAAGCAATCCACGGGGGATACTTGCAACATTTTCCTTTTGTTCCTCGTTTAGATTCCAATAGATTCGTTCGCGATAGTTCTATTTGATCGATCGGTTATTTACTCTCTTTCTCTCTCTTTATTTCGATGGAATTTTAATTTTCAAGTATATCCGAATTAGTCCGCGAATTACAGTGCTCGAACAATGACATTTAAAAAGCATACACGCAGCGTTCAATCGCCGTGATGTATATTTACTATATTTCAGAGAGCTGCGTAAATCAAGTAGTAACGGGGGAGAGAGAGAGAGAGAGAGAGAGAGAGAGAGAGAGAAAAAACGCTGACTGAGCATCTGTCACTGACCAACGCACGTTGATCAAGCTTGGAGCAGAGGCCGGTGAAGAGAAACGACAAAAAGAAAACTGTACGCGCGGCAGAGAGGGTGAATACCAAAAAAAATTACACTGCTGTATTGTCTGTAAATGAATTAAATAACGGGATAATGAAAGTTGAATTTTACACTTTAATAAAGGCCATCTGAAATCCGTTCCACTCTTTACAGAGATGCGTATCACTGCATCTTTGCGTTTTCTTTTTAAAAGGAAAATGTTATCCCACTGTTTCGCAAATATTTCTCGCAATCATTGAACGAAACATCGCGCGATTTTTCCGGTTACAGGAAGTCCCTTCCGCAAAGGACACGTGTTTCACGATCCGAAGGGCACGAATTGCCATCGAAATCCATGTTCCCGCCAACTGAACACCTATTAAAGGGACAATTGAATTCTTGCTAAATAATTTATTGCAAAGCGGAATGTTCGATGCTCCGCCGTTCCAATTTAAGTGAAATTACCGGATATACGCGCGATACATACCAACCGTTATATAATAACTTCAATTTCTATTTATCAAACAATTTCGCGCAATATCGTTAATATCGAAATTTCTCCCGCGAACAATTACGCGGATCCATAATATGATTTTGAACGTCATTAAAGGACGAATATTATTTCCGAAGTGTGTCGGCCATCCTCCTACTCTCCCTCCTTGAATTTAATTCGGGTGACGCTCGACGAACGGACCATCACCCTCGTGAACAAGACGCGCGTCATTGAGGGATGAAAATGGATGTTACGCTCTTCCGTCACCGAGAGACTCTGAAACTTGGAAGAGAGAAGGACGATGGAGGTTAATCAAGATTTGTGGCGAAGCTATAATTCTCGCGACACGACAACATATATATATATATATATACAAGGTGTTTCGTAACTTGTGAGACTCACTTCGGGAGCTGATTATACGCCTAAATATAATAATGAAAAAAACTAATATATGTCCTATCTGTCTTCGTTTATGAGATATAATGAATTTTCTGTTTTAATTTACTTTTACAAAAGATGCTCAAAATGACCATCTTGCGTTTGAAGACAAGCCTTGCACGCGTCTTGTCATTCATCTGGTTACTCTCTCTATCATTCCTGGTGTTTCTCGAATTTGTCGCAAGCCTTGCTCTATTCTATTTCGTAGTATTTCAGCATGTTCAATCGATGTTGCGTATACAATAGATTTTAATTGTCCCCGCAAATGAAAATCTAATGGATTCAAATCCGGAGAACGAGCAGGCCATGCAATGCAACCTCCACGACCAATCTATTTATTTGCAAAGTGTTGATTTAAAAATTGCCTAGCCACTCGGCTAAAATGCGGCGGAGCTCCATCGTGCATAAACCGCATACNTCCATACGTTTAAACTAAACTGGTGTTGATGTCTTGAATGCACAATAACATGTGGGTTTTCTTCATCCCAATTATGATTATTATGAAAATTGAATATACCATCTCTGGTAAAACTAGCTTCTAGAGTTTGCTCTGTTTATAAAATTCATTATATCGTGCAAACGCGTGCTCAAAAAATCAACGTACTTTGTGCCTGTTGGTTTCCCATCGAGAAAACAAAATCCAATTTATTTATATATATACATATGTGTGTGTATCCAAGTGGATTTTGAGCGATCCGTTGACCAACTTCTTTTCAATTCCAACCTCGTCGTCCTGTCGAGGCGAGATCACCTCGATTTATTACTCTTCTACGTGGCGCGATGACACACGCTCGGTCGATTTTGTAACACGCTGAATCGTTGTCCGCGGTTAATTGAGAAAAACCGATGGATTTGCCCCAGTTCCTCCGAGGATTCGGAAATGCACATCGCACGCTGGCCGAAAGGACTTTATTCACCCTTGGCGAAATGTTTTTAAATCAAATTGAACATTGAGCAAAGCAGTTGGTCTAAAAAATACGATACTCTGTAGATGATGTGACCTTCTCTCTTGTTTTTTAGCTTTCAGTTTCGCGAAAATTTCACGTGTGAAGGCACGAGAATGCAAGTTCAATATGCAGCTGCCGATGAAAAAGGAAACGAAAAGTTTTCCTCGAGATAGGAAAAGAAAAAGAAGAAAAGGTCAATATTTGTCACCGATACCGGCGGAACCCGGGACGATTCTTTAAATGCGATCCTATTAAGCGACGAATGCTCAGACCGGCATTAAAGACTGAAATCGCATTTGCATTATTAAGCGATCAATTCGACGCTGCGCGCCATACACCTGAGCGCTTTTTCCACGCTTCCAATGCCATCACATTGGCTGTTTACGGACAGTAAACTGACGACAAAAAAAAAAAAAAAAAAAAGAAAAAAGAAAGAAAAAGAGCAGAAGACGGAGAGATAAACCTCTTTTTCCAACTTTAAACTCTTAATTGGCCTTGCGCCCGCGCACACGATTTTTATCTCTATGCACACGAGTTATTACTTCCGCTCGATCTCGCGGAACACGATGCATTTAATAACCGAGCAGTCTCGTTTAAGATTCCCGTTTGCGAGCGACGAGCATCCGCTAATGTCGTTTTTCTCTCTCTCCATCGAATCGAGATATTCTGCGTTTTTATTTAAGAGCGGCACGGAAAATTACAGACATTTCAAAGTCGTCGATTTTCCGCACGTTGTTTGTACGATTAAGAAAAACGGATGAGTTAAATTACGCGCGAATTTCCTCCCTCTGACGGATTCGAGCGTAAGAAGAATTTCCACGAGCACGATATAAAACGCGCGAATTCACTCCGCGCTGTTCCACCGCAGATAGTTGAGCCTGTTTGCGAAAAAAAAAGGCTCGAGTTTCCGCGCTAAGAAACGCCAGAAGTTAATTCTCGTAACCGCTGGCGTTGAGAAAAGAAAAAAGATCGACTGAATTTTCGCGCCTCTACATTCCCCAATAACCGCTGCTCTCTGAATGCCTGAAAGAATACACGCTAGAGAGAAAGAGAAAAAAGAAAAAAAAAAAAGAAAAACAACAGAAAAGAGAGATATTGGAGTTGGAAGATCTCGCAAAACAAAATCGACCGGAAATTCCTAGATCAACAAGGAAACAAAACGGACGAAATTCGTCACTTGGCGCAACTTTCGTATGAGAAAAATTCGCCGACAGGGCGAATCGTCCGCAGTGTGTGTTTCGATCTGGCTGAAATCCCTGCGAAATTCTCGCCGCGAAACGTCGGATCGTTTCGTCGCGGATGGCTGTCGTTTCGCGTAAAATGGCTGGTGCACAGGGGCGGCGAGGAGGAGGGGGGTGGGAGAGTGTGCCACGTAGGATGAGGACTTTCGATACCACGGATGTAATACACGTATTCGTATCGGAGTAAATGGAGCATGCTGGGTAACGGCGCGTCTCGCTCTAAGGGGTGCTGCTGCTTGCTGGGATTCGCAATCAACCCCCGCCCCCACCCCCTCCTCTTCCCAGACGCTCGAGGTTTCAAGCCTACGCTCGTTTCACAGGGACCGCGTCAATCACGCGGAGAGGAAACAGGGTTCGTGATTGCCGCAGACCCGGCCGGTTGTTGGATTCAAAATATTTTATTTCGCGATAAGAGAGGCGGAGTGACTAGAATTCGCGGAATTCGCGGGGAATTCGAAATATCCTCTCCCCTTCGGTATTTGCATAGGCGAGAGAAATTTTTACGCGTGCACGCAATCGTTTCGATAACGATCGCGTTGTTTTGTTCTTCGGGCGTTCTCTCGACGCACGCTGTACGCTGGAATTTTTCCGACTCGCTCGCTATAATATAAAATTATTATATTAGCCTAAATATTGAAGATATTAGCGGAAATCGTTGCTCGGTGAAACTCGTTGAAACATGAGAAAAACTGTTCGATTCGCGATAAAAGGGTAATGTCAAAATAGCGTGTGCGACATAATTGGTCGAATTATTCCGGCCAAATGAATAAACGACAGCGTACACGATTTCCACGTAGCACAAAAATCCTGACGGCATTCGCGCTGGCAATATTAGTTCCCGTTCAATCGCCCGACAGCGTGATT